TTGCTTTGGGCACACTTCGAAAGATAATCGCGATACTCGTAATAGCTTCACTGCTAGCCCTACTACTAGCGACTAGCAGTGATACTTCGCAACACAAGGTGCAATACTTCGGATGTGGGGGGAGTCGAATCCAAAACTTCCTTTCTCTGTCTGCCCACCGCCCCCGCCCTATGCAATTCCTGCTGAAATCCTTAACACGGCATTGATGTTGGTCGGCCGTCTTAGGGGGTGGTCCATCCCAGGGTGTCGCGCCCGCCCCGCACGGAGCGGTATCCTAACACCTGGGAGAGCGAAGAAAATTAATTCCCATCCGCGTCGTGACAATACAACTATTTCGCAATCTTAGTCGTAGTAAAATTGATAACCAGTATGGTTCGCAATACTGATTAGTTGATTAAGAATGGTACTGACCGTGCAAAAACCACATGGTAATAATCACAATAGTTGTGATAAATCTAGCGGTAGTGCTCGCAGTATTGATAGTTGCGGTCGTACTGATTACAGATCGCACGAATGCTTAGCAAAACGCTTGAGCCAAATTGCAAATAGTAGTAACACCAATATTGGCATGATGAGAACCACAACTAAAAAACGAGCCGCCCCATCCACGAAACGATTGCAATTGTTTGTAACGAATGTGCGCGGCGCTAGGTAGGACAAACCACATGTTGAAAACGAGCCGTCCTCAATCCGTGAAGCTCTTGCAACGTTTTCGAAACGAATGTGCGCGGCGCTGGAGGCCACAGCGACATTTTGGAAGCGGCCCGCCCTCAATCCGTGAAACTCTTGGAACGTTTTCAAAATGGATGCGCGCGGCGCTAATGCGAGAACCACACGTTGGAAATGAGCTGCCCTCAACCCAAGAAGCTCTTGCAAATGTTTGAAACGAATGTGCGCGGCGCTAAAGCGAAAACAACATGTTGAAAACGACCCGCCGTCAATCCGTGAAACCCATGCAAGCTTTGAAACGAATGCGCGCGGCGCCGAAACGAGGGCCACATTTGGAAAACGAGCCGCCCCCAATCCGTGAAGCTCTTGCAACGTTTTCAAAACGAATGCGCGCGGCGCTAGGGCGAGAGCCACGTTCTGGAAGCGGCCCGCCCTCAATCCGTGAAACTCTTGCAAGTTTGCGAGACGACTGCGCGCGGCGCTAAGGCGAGAGCCACATCCTCCTCCAGGTGCGGGAATAACGCTTCAGACGCAGGGGACATGTTATCCTTTTGCCAGAAGAGGGGCGGTCATTATGAACTGACTGAGCTTAGAGGTCCGGGGGAAACGCACAACTCGGGCATAAATTACAGATAGCATCGAAGCGACAGAGGCTCGCGGCAACCGAGAAATGTCAAATGAGGCCACACACCGACCTAGCAAATCTGTAAATGGAGTGCGCGCAAGCCGCGACACTTCGAGCACGCGTAAGACTGCCTCACTCATCAGAACCAGCTGCCAAACTCGATGCGAGCATGTCCACTCGCGCGAACTCTTTCATCTTCATCTCCCACTGAGCCCTGGAAACTCGCCTCGCAGCTTTAAAATTCTTCCCGGAACTCGATGCTCCAGGTTCCTCGCTCGCGGGTCTCTCGCAAATAGGCCGCCGGCATGTCTATCGTCTGGCAATATGACATCGCATTCGTGCCGTCGGTTCAGCATACTTGTTTTCGAGGCTGGTCTGAAATCTCATGCATACTGTCGAGCTACAGGTTGCTCTTCAGCGTTGCACTTCCTACTCAAATATCGTTTGCCATTTCATCGCGCCCGTCGCGCGGGTCCGTCACCGGCACTTGCCCACCAAACAACTCGAGACTAGGTCGTCGTAAAACTCGGACTGGCAACGCCCTGGCGATCCGATCTCGAACCCCTTGCGCCACACCAGTTCCACATTGATTCTTCTTAACAAAAAACGCACTGGGCTATTTTCCCGTTTTGCATTTCGGGTTCTTGACAACCTACGGGCGCAAAAAAACGCGACGGTGTTTTGCGTGTTTAGCTCAATTTCTTAACGATTTTAGGCCCGTCGCTGTGGATCATCATGTTTTATTGCTTTGTTTGTTTTTGCGTTGTTTTCAGTCGACGGCTGCTCCTTGTCTTTCCTGCTGGCTTTGCTCCCGCGTTTTCGTTCCTGCCGCAATTGCTCCTGCCAGTGTTTGAGACGCCCCAAAAATGCTCGAACACCTGCCTACCACCGGCCCGAAACAGGACCGGGTGCCCGATGTCCCCAAGAAAAGCAATCTGCCATCGGGCCCGGATGCCCGACGCCCCAGGAGGAGCTCCGAGGACGGCGAGCAATGCAATCGCACTGAGAGAGCCCGAGGGCGCGCCCGGCGACCAGGAGACGGGAAGGCGGCAGGTAGCAACAAGGGGGGGCGCGGATCTCCGAGGCCAGCCAGCAGCCAGGGCAAGAGAGCGGCAGAAGGAACATGCATTATGGCAATAGAAATGCAGGGAGGACTGCTCGACAGGAGAAGGAACTGAGGGTTCTCGTAGACGGCAACATCACAATGCAACAAACCGATCTGAAAACGCACAAAACTCAGCGAAAGCACAACAATAATAATCGTTGGTCAGAGCGTTTAAACTTTTCTTACTGGGACGTATAAATTATCCCAGCGCGACCCTACCTAGGAGTTGGAGCCTCTAGGAAACAACATGAGTAGGAACGGTAAACGCCGTCCTCCTCCTTCTCCTCATCGTCGTAGTAGTAGTAGTAGTAGTAGTAGTAGTAGTAGTCGTAGTAGTAGTAGTCGTCGTAGTAGTAGTAGTAGTAGTAGTAGTAGTAGTAGTAGTAGTAGTAGTAGTAGTAGTAGTAGTCAGTAGTAGTAGTAGTAGTAGCAGTAGTAGTAGTTAGTAGTAGTAGTAGTAGTAGTAGTAGTAGTAGTAGTAGTAGTAGTAGTAGTAGTAGTAGTAGTAGTAGTAGTAGTAGTAGTAGTAGTAGTAGTATAGTAGTAGTAGTAGTAGTAGTAGTAGTAGTAGTAGGTAGTATAGTAGTAGTAGGTAGTAGTAGTAGTAGTAGTAGTAGTAGTAGTAGTAGTAGTAGTAGTAGTAGTAGTAGTAGTAGTAGTAGTAGTATAGTAGTAGTAGTAGTAGTAGTAGTAGTAGTAGTAGTAGTAGTAGTAGTAGTAGTAGTAGTAGTAGCGCCAGAACCGCCGACGCCACGCCATGAAGCAGCAGCATAAGCAGGCAGCAAGTCGCCGAGAAAAGCAAAGGCTAGTACATATACATATATACATATATATATATATATATATGTATGTCTAGCAGCAGCAGCAATAGTGGATGTTGTGCTGCACTACGCTATGCTATGCTCTGCTATGCTATGATATGCAAAGCTATGCTGCGCAATGCTGTGCTGGGCTAGGCTATGCTATGCTGCGCTATGCTATGCTGCGCGATGCTATGCTATGCTATGATATGCTATGCTATGTTATGATTTTGCTTTGCCTTCGCTTTTGTCTTCGCTTGTGCCTTTGCTTTTGCTTGGCACCCAGGGGGCGCAACTGGGGGAACCGCGCGTTTGATTTCACCTTTGCTGTTGCTTTTGCTCGGGTCCCAGGGGGCTGGGGGAACCGCCCGGGGCGCTTTGCACTGCCCGGCCCCTTTAAGCCAACGGAGCAAGAACCCTTCTAGGCAGAGCCTACACGCCTCGTCAAAAATGAGCAGAAACGCAATTGGAAATCACGACGACCGATCTTCTCGGGCACTTGTTAGAAACTGCGTTCTGCAATGCTGCGGAAGGGTCGTCGGATTTTCGAAGCCCTTGCGTCCACGTCAGATATCTAGCGTCAGCATTGGAGTAACGCTGACCATACAATCACCGAAAACAGAATCCCTCAATTTATGTTTGACGAGGGTTGTTCGCTCATAGGCTCCTAAGCCGCTTTCTTTCGGTAATGCGCAGCACTTGTCCGTCCGCTCGGCTGGAGAATTACTTTGCGTTTGCTATGTACTGTTCGTGACATGGTGCAAACACATATAGCGGCATGCATCGGTACACATACATACATTTTGCATGCTTCCGTGTACACGTCGGAATGGTACTCCCGCCGCCGCGTTGACCACCGGAGTAGATTGCGTGTGAGGGCCCCCCAGGGTCCACGGTAACCGGGTGGATTTCTTTGTGTTTTCGAAAGGGGGAAATTATGGCCTTTCGCCGATTTTTCTTTTCGGGTTTCTACGCCCCGCCCGGGAACTTGAAGGCGTGGAGGCGAGAGCGGAGTTCCCATATTGTATCGCTGTAAGCGCAGTTGTCTTCACCACGATGGGGGAGGCCTTACGTCCTGTGCTGCCGACCTTCAAGGGGGACGACGACGTTCGCGAGTCCTTCTGGGGGCCCTCTTGGGACCCTCTTGGGCTCTCTTGGGGGGTCTTTTGGACCGTCTTGGGGCCTTCCTGGGCCGTCTTGACGCAATTGTTCTCATCATTATCATCCATGTTTGCGGCGCGGCGCTGTGCCGTGCCGCGCCGCGCCGTGCCGGAACCACGCGCAGGGCCCCAAATGGAAGTGTTCCGGAAGTTTGGTGCTGAAGGTTTTACAGGGATGGGAGGGCTCCGGAGGTGTGGGGGGGACTGCGGGAGGTTTTGGGAGGAGCGCGGGGGGTTTCGGAGGGATTGGGAGGTTCTGGAGCTTCTGGGGGGAGTGCGGAGGGGTGTTCAGGAATGGGAGCGTTACGAAGGTTTCTGGGAGGAGCGTGGAGGATTGCAAGCAGGTGGGTGGACGGATGGAGGGTGGGGGAAGCAGTACTTCTCTGGGGGGTAACGGTATGGGAGAGCTGCTCAGGGGGGGGGGGGGGAAGGGGGGGGTGGACATCAGCGCCGATAGATCGGCGATGGGCCCCCGATATCGAATCCTCACTTTCCTGGGCGGGGTGGGCTATTGAGCCCCTATCGGCGACGAATGGGCGATCGGGGGTCGCTACGCCCCCCCCCTGAGCCTATCCCCCCCCCCACGTTGCCCCTGATCTTCTCCTTCCCCCCGTCCTCTCTCCTCGCCCCCTGCGCGGAGCCCGTCGTCTGTCTCCGCCAGCTTTGACAGGGACCAGAAGTGCTCCTTCTCCCTCCGCGCGCGGGCAAAGAGGTTGCGAGGGGCAACGTCGGCGTGTCAGGGACGTGTCGAGAGAGGAAGAGGGAGGGCGCCGTGAAATGTGGGAGGAATCGTGGCCCGCCTCGATGAAAGTATCCCTTCCCCCTGGTTCCCCCCCCCCCTTCCTGGACGCCCGAGAGTCCTGGCCGTCCTCGTGCGCCCTCACGCCCCCCGCCCCCCCCCCCCCCTCCGGCGCTGACGTCTGCTGCTCGGGGATCGAGCGCCCGCTCCCGCCCGCCACCCCATTGTGTCGAGGGCGTGGCGCTGAGGGGGAACGATGATAGGCGACGAGCCCAGGGGAAGTGAGAGGCGGCAGGCCCTCCTAGAAGGCGGCGGGGCTTGTCAGCGGCCCCCGCGACTTCTGAGGAGCCTTCTCCGAAGATCCAGACGGCTTCTCAGAAGGCGCGAAAGCTTCAGAGAAGCCCCGCTGCCTTATGAGAAGGCCTGCCCCCTCTCATTTCCCCCCCTGAGCTCGCCTGCACAGGGGGAACATCGGCGTGGAATCGGCGACACATCGCCGATAGATCGGCGACAGGCCCCTGACAGCGAAACAGCGCGCTCCTGGGCGGGGTGGGCCAATTATCGGGTCCGTATCTCGATCAGTGGGCGATTCGGGGTCGATGCGTTCCCGCCCGATTTGGACGCCCGAACTGGGTACGGAAAGAATGGGCACAATGCCCAACAACAAGTGTTGTCCCAAACCAACAGCGGCCGCTGTCGGGCGGGCCGCGGTGGCGCGGATAGCGAGTCCTGTTCAAAATGAACAAGATCCGCTGTTGGGCATTGTACCCATTCTTTCCGTGCCCATTTCGTTTGTGCAGACCCGAGCCTACGCCCGCCCCTGCCATTGCCCCGGAGGGAAGGGAAGGAGGAGCGGGGGCGTCTGCGAGCGGAGCGTCCAGCAGGGAGACTCGCATCATGGCCCTAGGCACGTGCGCAGCCCACGGGGGTGGCGGGGGACGTGTTGAAAGAGGGGGGGGGGGCATGAAATCTGGGGAGATGTCTGGGGCCTGGCCATCACCCCTCTCTTGGCCACCTGCGAGGGGAGGAGCAGGAGGAGAAGGAGGAAGAGGAGGAGGAGGAGGAGGAGGAGGAGGAGGAGGAGGAAGGGGAGGGGAAGGAGGCGGAGGCGGAGGAGGAGGAGGAGGAAAGAGAGGAAGAGGAGGAGGAAAAGGAGGAGGAGGAGGAGGAGGAGGATAAAACCGGGCAGCGCACCTCACGAATAACCGAACCAAACAGGACCACGGCCTCGCGGCCATCGAGCGCGCGTGCCACCGAACACTGTGTTCTTGCCTCGACGCCTTACCCTCTGAGCCTACGGCACGTTCGGACGTCGTCGTCGTCGTCGATTATCGGTCGTCGGTCGTTGGTCGCCAGTCGTCAGTCGTCGTCGTCGCTGTCTACGAGTCTAGATCCGTGGCAACCTTCTACGCTTCAGGACATGCCATCTGACCCCACCAGCCTTTTGGGCTAAGGTTGTCTAGCGATATTTTCCCTGCCCCAATTCCAGACGAGCCCAAGCTGTGGCGTTATTGGCCACGCGGTTGGGACAGCGAACGGCCTGCAAGGATCCAAAATTGACGGGATGGCACCCCCCGAATCTGCACCCCGAGAGAAGCAGGAGGAGGAGCAGGAGGAGGAAAACGAAACGGGCGAAAAACAATACACAGCAAACAAACGCTGACCAGGAGGAGGGAGGGGAGCGGCAGAAGCGGCGCAGAGCAAGCAGGGACGGATGGGCGGCCGGGGGAGGCTGGGGGCAATCGTCATCGTCGTCGTCGTCGTCGTCGTCGTCGTCGTCGTCGTCGCGGCCAGGGCAACGGGGATTGGGGGCGCCGTCTGGGCAGGGCAGGGCGACAGGTGCGGTCGTGGTCGCGGGCGTCGGTGGTGGTCGTCAGGGGGCAGGGCAGGGCGTCGGGGTCGGGGCGGCGGTGGTGGAGCAGCGGGGCAAGACGGGCGGGAGCGGTGGGGACGCGCGTTGGCCGTTGGGCGTCAGTCCGCTGTCAATCGTCGGGGGACAAGCGGGGGCGTGGACGAGGGGGGCGGCGGCGGAGGCGGCGGGGGGGCCGGAGGAGGGCGGGGTCCGGTGGGCGGACGGGGCGGGCGGAGGCAGGACGGGGGAAAACGTCAGTCGACGTGGGGGGGCAGACGGGGGCGGCGGGATCGGGGCGGCGGAGGGCGGGGAGGGGCGGGGACGGATGCTGGAGGCGGAGGGTCGGTGGGCTGCAAGGTCGGCCGGCCGCAGGGACGCCTAGGCGGCGCCTGGCTCACGGTCTGGCCAACAAGCTTGGGCCTGCCTTGCGGCCCGGCGCCAGAGCTCAGTGCCGAGCGCAGCATAGCGCAGCGCACAGGCGCCGGCACCGCCACTCCCCGTCGGAACAACCACGCCTCCGCGATTGCTTTGTCGCGAGAATGCGAAGGATGACTGTTCTGCGGGGTGAGGCCGGCCGTAGCACGTGAACACCAACGGCTGGAAGGTGATTTTCTGCCGTGCCACAGCGTCCGCGTGCGCGGACCAGTAGTATTCGACTCAGTCGTCGTCGTCGTCGTCGTCGTCGTCGTCGTCGTCGTCGTCGTCGTCGTCGTCGTCGTCGTCGTCGTCGTCGTCGTCGTCGTCGTCGTCGTCGTCGTCGTCGTGGCCGTCGTCGTGGCCGTCGCCGCTCGCAGCGGGAGCTTCGCTGCTGCGTGCCGCGGGCCCTCGTGACGAACCTGGCGTATTTTCGGGCGGCACGAAGTCTTCCAAACCACGCAAGGTCGGCGGAACCTATATCGCCAGTTCTTTCCATGCGGGCCGGTTCTGGGCCACCCTTGCGACGTTCGACCTCGAACGCCCTCGCTGGGCTCGCAGCCGCGCCGCCGCGACAGGAAACCACCCGCGCCCACCCCCTTTCGACACCCCTGAAGGGCGCGACGCGCCCCCAGCGGCTGTCCGGGCGAGAGCATTTTGGCGCGCCGTTGTTTTCGGTTTGCCGGAGGTCCGCGGGGGGACGGGGGGGGAGGAGGAGGGGCACGGGGAGGAGGGGGGGTGGAGGGGGAGGGGGAGGAGGGAGGGAGGAGGAGGGGGGAGGACGAGGAGGAGGAGTAGGAGGAGGAGGAGGAGGAGGAGGAGGAGGAGGAGGAGGAGGAGGAGGAGGAGGAGGAGGAGGAGGAGGGAGGAGGAGGGAGGAGGAGGAGGAGGGAGGAGGAGGAGGAGAGGAGGAGGAGGAGGAGGAGATGGGGGGAGGAGGAGGAGTAAGAGGAAGAGGAAGAGGAAGAGGAGGAGGAAGATGGAGGAAGAGGAGGAGGAGGAGAAGTAGGAGGCGTTTGTTTATTCCTTGGGGGGCCGCAGGCGCACTCGCCGCGCCCATGCCAAGTCGAGCCACGTGCGCGCAGAGGAGGAGAGGCGGGGGCGCAGCACAGAGAAGCAAGACACATGAGAGGCAGTAAAAGCAAAGAGGAGCAGCGGCGGGTACTCTGCACGAGGAGTCCACTGTGGCGCATGCTCCCATCCAAATCGGACCGTCGCGATTCGAGCCGGCCCTGTCGGCGTGTGCGAGGGGCTTCCTCGTCCGTTCCTCGCCGCCCTTCTTCCTTCTCCCTTTTTTCTTTTTGGGCCGTACCCTCCTGCCGTCATGCCGTTGTCGATTCGAAGGGAAGCCCCTTCCCTTTGATCCCTTCCCCAGAGAGGGGGGGGGCCCGGGGGGGGGGGGGGGGGTCCCGGGGGGTGAGGGGGGGAGGTCCGGGTGGGTGGGGGGGCAGATTCGTTTTTCCTCGGGCGGCCTCGAAACCTCGAAAACACTCCAAATGAGGTCCGAATGCCCAAGATGGCCCCCGAGACGGCCCATGAGTGCCCCGAGTCGCCCAAATATCGGCCGAAGACGCCCAAGATAGCCCCAAGACCGTCCAAGAAGCCTCCAAGACGTCCCAGGCCCCCTCCAAGAGCACCCCCAAGAAGGGCCCAAGAGGCCACACTCATTACTTTTCCATCGGGAACTTACATTTCTAGCATATACGACGTTTCGGCCTTCACGGCGTCACAGACAGCTTCGTCTTCAGGGTCGGGGGCACCGGCCGCAAGGCCTTCGCAGTCGGACCGTCGCGATCCGAGCGAATCGCCACTCCTGCACGATCCCGAGTCACCATCACTCCCCGCCGCAAACGGGGCACGCCCCAAAAAAACGTGGACACAACACAAGGGAAGAGCCCTGCCACGCATGAGCCTCGATTCACGTCGGGAACCTGGCGCGAGGAAGCAGGCCAAGAGCGGACGACAGTTGCAGGGCGCCGCATATGCCTCGAACTTCGTCGGGGGCCTGGCGCGGGGCGGGTGGGCCCAGAGCTCTCGGGAGCAGAGCGCTCTAGGTACCACATGCCGCCTGTAAGCGTGTGTGCTGAATACTAACTGCCCGAAGCAGCTAGCCAGCCAAAAGCCACGCTCTACTCCCCATGCCAAACACCGACCGCCGAAAGGTGCACGGTCGGGGAACCTCTCGCCAGGCTCGCACGGCAGGGGGCGGCGGGCGGGGCGGCGGGGCGGCGCGCTGGGTGGGCGCCGCGAGGGAGGCGGCAGGCGGCCCCTGCCCCGGCCCCCAGGCCGCGAGTGGGAATGAAAATGCACAAGCAATGACACAAGAAGGAACGGCAACCAGCAGGGAACGAGAGGGGAGAGACAAGGGACAACAACAAGCAAAGGAGAGATGACAGCAGGAGAAACAGACCAAGGGAACCGCGGAGAACAGCAAACCGAGGACGAAGAGGGGCACGAGACCGACGGCGGCGACGGGACGATCCAACGGCGGGACGGAGGAAACAGGCAGCAAAGGCAAATAAATGAAAGGAAGGGCAAGAGGTCGAGGGCCAGCGTCCACAAACCCGTCATCCGAATCAGGGAGAACATGGCAGACCCTGAACTAACCAAGAAACGAATGCCCAACAACACAACCAGCCTCCAGCGGCGCTACAAACCTCGACCAACAGTCAGCCAACCTCGAGAGACCCACAAGGGTGCATGTTAAGGAGGAGGAGGAGGAAGAGGAGGAGGAGGAGGAAGATGAGGATGTTTAGGAGGAGGAGGAGGAGGAGGAGGAGGAGGAGGAGGAGGATTGGCGGCGCACACCAAGGGGCGGCGCGAGAGGGAGCCGCCGCCTCAGGAGGCGGCGGGGGGCTCGCGAGAGGGCCCAGGGAGGGGCTCTCGGACCGCCCTCCCCGCTCCCACCGGGGGGGCTCTCGGCAGCCCCCCGGGCCCTCCAAAGGGGGCCCCTGCCTTCCAAGGACTCTCCCCCCTCGTCTTTTTGAACGGCCGCTCCCCTCGCGTCGCACCAGCGCGTACGCCGCTGCACCTCCCGCGCGGGGCGCGGTGAACAGAGCGAGTGTGAGCAAGAGGGGAGCAAGGCAAGCCCTGCCGACCATGCTACTTTTCCCCTCCGCTGTTCTCCCTGCTCCCCCTTCCTTCTGCATCCTCGAGGGCGGGCTGCGAGCCAAGGGGAACGGGAATACACCCATATCGCTACTTCATGGACCTGTCTCTTCAAGACTTCGAGGCTCATCCAGCCATGGCGAGGAAAGCCCCCCCAAGAAGCCCCCAACAGCCGAAAACGATGGAAAACCACCCGTGCCGATAGACCTGTCCTGCTCTGAAGCTGGGCGGTCGCGGGGGCGCACAGGTCGGGCGAGTCCAGCTTCCTGCCCAACAGGTGCTTGAAGTTCCTGCGCGCGCCGCGCGGCGCGCTATCTGGGCCCCGCACGGCTCGATGGCCCGCCGCTCCGCCGGGGCACTCGCGGCATCCATCGCGCAGTCGCCGCCGTCCTCCCCATTTGGCGGCGCGCGCGGGCGGGTGGCGCGAGGGGCGGCCTCCCGAGAAGGCGGGAAGGGGGTGGTCTTCTCAGAAGGCCAGGGGGGCCGTCCCAGGAGGGGCCGTGGGACCTCGGAGAGGCCAGGCGGGTTTTTCAGAGAAGGCCTCCTGCCTTCCTGCAAGTAAGACCTCCCCGGTTTTTCAGAAGGTAGAAGGCCGCCACCCCGTCGCCACCCCCTGGTGCACGCGCCAATTCTCGTCTTCTTCCTCCTCTTCCTCCTCCTCCTCCTCCTCCTCCTCCTCCTCCTCCTCCTCATCCTCATCCTCATCCTCATCTCATCCTCATCCTCATCCTCATCCTCATCCTCATCCTCATCCTCATCCTCATCCTCATCCTCATCCTCATCCTCATCCTCATCCTCATCCTCATCCTCATCCTCATCCTCATCCTCCTCATCATCATCATCCATCATCATCATCATCATCATCATCATCATCATCATCATCATCATCAGCATCAGCATCATCATCATCATCATCATCATCATCATCATCATCATCATCATCATCATCATCCGTCTCATCCTCTTCCTCCTCCTCCTCCTCCTCTTCCAATCCTCTCTCTCCCTCTCTCCCTCCCTCCCTCGTCCTCTTACTCCCTCCCCCCTGGCGCCTCTCGTTTGGTGTGGCGAGTCAAAACTTCACCGCATAGCAGAAACATGCAGGTATGAAACTAGACAGTTCCGCCAACGAAGGTGCCCTGCCCAGGGCGGCAGGGTAACTTTATACGAGCCAAGGCGTGAGGCATAAACTTTCTGGCCGCCTTGGGACGGGCGCCCCCGATGGCGGAGCAGTCAAATCCCACCAGCCTCTGGGAGTAGGTGGTTTAAGATTTTGTGCCTTCAATCTGCCGAGCGGCTCTCCTTCCCCTGCCCGGGGGAGGGGCTTAGCCTCCCCCGTGCCCGCGAGGCGTTAGAGCCCCCAAGATCGCCCAAGATGGCTCCAGGAGGGCCTCAAAGACTCCACAATGGCCTCCAAAATGTTTCCGGGTAGCTCAAACTGGCTCGAAATAGTAGACTGACACACATCCAAGAGGCCTCAAGCCCGTCCCAAAACGATTGCAAGTGCCCTGTGGACCCTCCAAGGACCTCCCCCCCACGACGCAAAAATGACTCCCAAACCTAGGGCGCATGTGTGAGTTTTGCCGCCTTCTCGCCTTCTCGCTTCCGATAAGCTTTGGAGGCCTCGCGATGGCCCAAAAATCCCACCAGCCCTCTGGGCGTCGGTGGTTTAGGGCGTTTCCTCTTCCACCCCTCCCTCTTCCCCTTCGGGGAGGGGTTTACCCCTCCCCCTACCCCCTCCCCACTGACCTGGACAGGAGGGGCGGGGAGCGGTCAGAGCATCCAAAACGGCCTCGGCGAAGAAGCCACAATCATTGATTTTACTATGGTTTTGGCCCCATTTTGGCCTTCTGAGGGGGCAACGCTAATTAACGCTCCCCTCTTCTTTGATCGATTTCCTCCACGATGGCCGCAAGAGGCCCCCAGGATGCCCCAAGAGGCCGCAGGATGGCCCCAAGATGGCCCCAAAAGGCCCCCCAAGAGGCCCCCAGGAGGCCCCCAAGAGACCCCCAAGAGGCCCCAAGAGACCCCCCAGAGGCACCCAAGGTGCTCCCAGAGGCCTCGGCGATAATGTCAAACCATTGTTTGCACTAAGGTTTTAACAACATGTTCGCCTCGGGGACACTGATTAAGATGACTCCAAGAGCGCCTCGGGGAGCCCAAAATGACCTCCAAGATGGCTCAAGAAATCCCAAGATGTCTCATACTGGCTTCCTCTGTGTGCTGTCCACTTCCCTGATCGAGGCAATCCCACCAGCCTTCTGGGCGTCGGTGGTTTAAGGCGTTTCCTCTTCCACCCCTCCCTCTTTCCCTTCGGGGAGGGGTTTACCCCTCCCCCTACCCCCTCCCCGTGGACCTAGACGGGGGGGGCCGCGAGCGGTCAGAGCGTCCAAAACGGCCTCGGCGAGGAAGCCAAAATCATTGATTTTACTGAGATGTTGGCCCCATTTTGGCCTCCTGAGGGGGCAAAAATGGACCCAAGAAGCGCCCAGGAGGCCCCAAGATGGCCCCAAAAGGCCCCAAGAGGCCCCCAGGAGGCCCCAAAGAGGATCCCGAACGGCCCACAGAGGCCCCCCCGAGGCACCCAAGACGCCGAAAAGTCCCTCAGGGCGACCCTCTACTCGCCTGGGCGTCGTTTCTGGACGGGCTGGTGGGGATACGCGAAGCGTCTAGAATTTCCCCAAGAGGGCTTCACGAGGCTCCAAGAGCGCTCCAAGAAGGCTCCCAGGCCAAGAAGGTTCCCAGACCTCCACAAGAGCCCCCAGAGGGCCCCCAAACTGCCCCAAATGGCTCCGCGGGGACCTCAAGGGACACCCAAAATGGCTCCGAAATAAATATCAGAAAAAACACTTTCCAAGGCGGCTGCTACACTGCATGTTTCTACACTTTCCTGATCAAATCAACCCGCCTGGAGATATGTTTCTGGATGGCCTGGCGGGGATATTTTTTCGTCGCAGCCGCAGGCGAGCGCGCCAGCAGAGTCGGGCGGGCTACGCGCGAACGTAATTGCCTAACGCGCCGACTAACCGGCGGCCTAAGCAGCACCTGAGCTGACCGGGCAGCGCGAGGCTGGCGGGGTTACTTGTTTTTGATTGACGGCTCACAAGGACAGATCCAGGAAGCGGGACGGGCTCGGCTGGGGCGCAGGGCGAGATAATTGGCAACGACGGCACGTAGGCCGACGTCGCAAGTGCACGTGCAAGAGGCAAAATGCCCCCCATTAAGATGCGAGCGGCCCAGGAGCAGGGGCGCAAACGCCAGACTGAGCTCGACGGAGGGGATGTCGCACAATGGCGCCAACTCGACCCATACTGACCGGCGCGTGCTGGCGTGCGGCACGCTGCGCTGTGGCAGCACGGGGGGCCCGAGAGGGCGCTCCGTCAAACGCGACGAGGAGGCGAGAGAGCAAGGAAGGGCGGCGGGCGCGAGCGAACGCACGGGCAGAAGAGGGGGAACCGAGGAACGCCTCACTCACAAGGACTCCTGAGCGTGGTCGGGCAAAAGCGACCAACTTATGCACGGACCAACCCAATCATGGAGTCCAAAACGCGCGACTGCCAGACCCCGAAGGTCGGGGGGGATGCGGCAGCAGGCATGGCCGAGCACCATGGACCACCCTGCAAGAGGTCTGGAACGCTGCCAGAGGATGAACCACTTGTGCAGTAACAAGAGCTCGAGGGTGGCTCCCGCCGAGAGCGGCGGACCAAGTCATCGGCGAACAACGCGGGCAGTTTATCCATCGCGATGGACGGGGGGACAAAGCGGCGAGCGTCGGTCGGATAGGGGCGGACCAGATGGGAGACCGTCGGCAGTCAAGCAAAGGATGTACCACTTGTCGGGCCCGCGCTCTCCCCAGGTCCGGCCCCAGGTGGTGCGGGGCGGGGTGGCGCGCCAGGCTGCGCCCAGCCGTAACCCAGGACCAGGCGCCGTGAACAACGCCCCGGCCACGCGGGCAAACCGCGCCCGCACCAGGGGCGGGAGTCGCACAGACGTGGGCGGACTGCCTAAGGCCCGAGTTGTCCGAAACCACCCCAGGTTGCCTCGCGGCGCGACCGCGCCTCGGAGCACTGCCAGCGAGCCTCCCGGTTGCAAGTGCGCCCGAGTGCTCCGGTGGAGCCTCGGCCGGGGGGAAACTCGCGCGGCGCCGCGTCAGCAATAGAGGGGGGGGAGAGATGAGGGGTCGCAGCCGATAGCCGCACAATCCAGTAAGTGAAAGGAGGAGAGGGAGGGGCGGCGTCAATGCTGACACTGCGAGGACTTTGGCCTCTGCGACCCCCCCACCCTGAGTTGCGGCGGGCCCGCGGCGACCGCGGGGGGAACAGAGCGCCTGACCACTGCGGGGGACCTCGCTGTCACTGCCCCAAGCAGCATCGCGCGCCCGAGTGCCCCAGTGGAGCCTCGGTTGGGGGAAAATCGCGGGCGCCGCATCAGCAATAGAGGAGGAGAGGAGGAGTCGCAGCCGATAGCCGCACAATCCAGTAAATGAAAGGAAGAGAGGGAGGGGTGGCGTCAATGCTGACCCTGCGACGACTTTGGCCTCTGCGATCCCTCCACCCTGAAATGCGGCGGGTCCTCGGCGACCGCGGGGGGAACAGATCGCCGGACCACTGTGGGGGACCTCGCTGTCACTGCCCCAAGCAGCAACGTCGGGGGGAAGAACGTGAGGTGTAGAGCATTGGAGCCAGATGGAGTGCGTGGGGTGGGCCTATGGCCAGCGCCCCCAGTCGTCCAGAACGGATCCTCGACCCCCGGGATCCGAGTCAAGGGGGGGGGGGGGGGCACGGGGAGGGGGCTATTTCAGCCGCCATCCACCGTCCCGAAGGGTCCCACGAGACCAGCGCGGGCTGTCTAGTGCGCAGCGCATGGGTATTGGCGCACCTCTGCCCCATAAGAGGTGACACGGGGGTATTAAGGCCGAGGCCTGGCACTGCAGTGAAACCGGCCCCCGTCCAGGTCGGGGGCAACCGCGAGGGAAGCTGTGCCGTGGGGGACTGCCACATCACGCTCCTCAGTCCCTCTCCCCTGCATCGCTGTGCGCAGCAAAGGGCCGACTAAGGACCATGGGGCTGCCGACCCAGCGGGCTCCGCCCGGAACGGCGGGGTCCCATATTGCCCACAGGGTCAGCGCGATGGAGACCACCTTGTAGAGTGAGGTGGAGGCAGTTCCCAGTTGCCCAACGTCGTCATTGTCCAGAAAGCAAGCGTTGCGCTCCATGACGGGCCGGGCGGCAACTCTAAGAATCGACATGCTCGGGTGGAGAAAGGCTTGAGCCGCGGACAGGCTGCGCGGACC